GATTAACAGACCTGGGCAATGTCAAAGGAAGCAAAACGAACAATGGTGGAGCGACTACATTTACTCTCTTCAAACGCCTGGAACCCCTAATGAACAAAGATGGAGGGTCTGCAGCTCCGGCAACCACATCAGTGTTGCCTGCGCCTGAAAAGTAGCCACTCCATCTGCAGATCGAAGGAGAGCTCAAAACATTTGCAATGGGGGGTTCCTACAAATCAAGATTGAAGTACTATGAGGCACTGAAGCAGCAACTCAGAAAACTATGCAGCAGGAAAAGAAGCTACGCAAACTGCAACCTCTTACTCCTACTGCACAATTGAATGACGAGATAAATCAGTTGAGACATCAGTTCTGAGCTCTTACTCCTACTCCACGAGTGAACGACCAGACAATCCAGTCCAGACACCACCGGAAGAAACCATTGAGTCTTTTTTCACACGGGAACAATTTGACAACGCAATGCAAGAAGAAGGTTCGGTTTATCATTCACCCCAAATGGGAGGTAGACTTATCTTCAGTGCGGACGAAGAAACAAGTTCACTGGGAGATACACTGGGAGATACGGTTCTGTCGGAAGGGGAAGAAACTGAAGAAGAAAGGAAATTGGAGCTGTTGGACTATACTATGCTTTTAAGCCAAGGATTATGCATGACTATTTGGGCAGGCGTGGGGAGATATTTGATGCTTGTGTGTTGACAACAACAAGGGCGGTCTGCTGAAGCTTGCAGATTGCTTTAGAGATTTTCAGATGGCGGTACAAAATCCACGTACGCAATATAAGTACCGAGAGGTCTGTGTAGCAAACCCAAAATGTAACATTTTCCACCCTCGGAACCACTTTGGAGGTTGCTCAAATGACCACCAGCTACCCACAGAATCGCTGCCAACACCAGCATGTCTCCTCATTCTCCTATTAGAGTAGGCGATACGGTCTTTTCCAAAAGTTATGCTCTGGGTATTGTGAGAACAGTGTTAACGGAAACAGATGGCAAAACAGAAACAGTCAAAGTTGTCTGGGATGATAACTTAACAACTGTTGTCCATGTTGATAGTCTCAAAAAAGTACCAGAAGAATCACCATCCAGAAGAAGGTCAGTACCAAGGTCAACACCAAGGTCAAAGTCCAAAGCCAATCCAGGGTTCCATGATGGTTATAGGAAAGGGGCAGCAGGTCCTACGACGCCTCCAAGATTATTGCATTCCTCCATCGGAATAGGTGACACGGTCATGGATAAACACGGTCAACAGGGAAAGGCAGTAGAGGAGGTGACAGTAACTCCTGATGGTGACTCTACAATCAAAGTTTCCTGGGATGCTTACGAAAGGGCTGATATCGTCAATGTCAACACTCTCCAAAAAGTACCAGGAGAAGCATCAGCAAAAAAAAAATCAGTGTTAAAAGCCATTCAAGGGATAGTTCACGGTTGTGGGAAGGGGACAGCAGGACCAGATCCTATTGCACCTAGAATGTTACTGGGTTCATTTGACAAACAAAGTGACCTTGAGGAACAACCAGCAAGAAAGAAAGTCAAGAAGATGGATGAAGATCCAGCGTTGGCAAGGTATCAAAAACTTAATAAAAACGTATTCTGGAACAAGGAGCCTTTCAAGGGCACACAGGTAGCAAAGATGTTTGAGGGAAGGGAATGGCATGAAGGATATGTAAGATGCAGTTGGGTAGAAGAGAACGGCAGAAAGAAACAGTACAGTCTGATATACACAGATGGCGACAGGGAGGATGTTGATCTAGATGAGCTCAAAAGGCTTGTTGCAAATTTCAATAGAAGGAAAGAGGTCATTTGCATTGACATTGATGACAACAATGTCAAGGATGTGGTACTACCAGCTCCGGAGTGCCATGCGCAGGAATCATCAAATCCAAACTCACAGCTATCAAGCCCTAGCGCCAATGATGATGATGCAACTACTACTGCAGTTAACACTGATACGCACTGTGGCAGCAACCGTTTTGATAATGCTAGTGGTCACAGGGATGACAAAGATGAGCAATCCGATGACGATAGTGTGCTTCAAGCAGCTCTGCAGCAGGAACAGGATTCATCATATCAACACTCACAGCTATCAAACCTTAACGCCCACAATGACGATTTTAATAATGGTGCTGACAAAGATGTGCAATCGGAGGATGATAGTTTGCTTCAAGCAGCTCTTCAGCAGGAGCCAGATGATGCTACTGATAATACTGATGGTCACAGGGCCGACGAAGATGCGCAATCGGAGGAGGATAGTGTGCTTCAAGCAGCTCTTGAGCAGGAGTCAGATGATGCTACAACTACTTCAGTTTACACTAACAATCATCATGCTAGAGATCATCTTGATAATACTGGTGGTCACAGGGCTGACGAAGCTGTGCCATCAGACGACAGTGTGGTTCAAGCTGCTCTGCAGCATCAGCAAGGGCAGGAGGAAGAGCAAGATCCAGAGCCATCCGACGCTAGTTCAATATCAAATGTTAGTGCTGATCACCTTGATGCACCAGATGACTTCATCGATAATGATGAAGATGAAGATTTACAGGAGATCAAGAGACATCATGAGTTGTTAACTCGTCTCTTTAAGCATTTGGATTTGGATCAATACCTTGAATGTGAAGGTCCGGCCCCAGAGGCATTGAAAGTTGGAGTTGACGCTGATTCTGTTGGCATTCTCACTGAAGATCTTTCAGAAGTAAATTGTTTCAATGTAACTGGTCTTGAGTTTAAACATGCAAAAACAGGAAAGCGTCCCTATAAGGTCCGGGCCTCAGTGGCAAGATCACGGGACTTCCACCCGACCAAGAAGAATCAAGATCCCATGAAAAAACCAACTACCTTGGATAGGTTCCCTTCTTTCACTGTTGGACATTTGAACTTTGGAGACTTGAAAGTATATTTGTCAATTCATGTGCTGCATCAAGGAATGGTGGACAGACGCTGTGACCAAGCAATTGTTGACACTTGGAATGCTGTGAATGACTGGGCGCTTCGGAAGAGTACATTTGAAAAAATTATGGAACTGCAGGAGAACTGGAAGTTTTACAGTACCAGACAGAGTCGAGGCTCCTTTAAGGAGACTGTTGAGACATATCTCCGTGCCATTCAGGGCATGCGTGCGTTAGGGACTGTTGGAGGGGAAAGCAAGAAGATTGTGTTCCGTGGCCAATTTGTCCCATTGCTACATATCAATCTGATTAGGTACAAACTTCAAAGTCTGTCTGAAACAAGAACTTCTGACCTGAAGGGTGCTGACAACAAATCAGCTTTTTTGCTCTGTTGGAATTCTATATACCTTTTGCAGAATGCTGGATTTAAGGCCACTTGGAGGGAGTGTCTGCAACCCAACCCAGGTACCACTTTCAATGAATGTAGATTCTGCCCACAGCAAGATCCATCGCGGTACAACAAATGGATGAGAGGACAGGTACGGAAAACCTATGAAGAAGCCAGAAAAGTGTTTGTCAATGATGAAGTTGGAATACAATTTGAGACTTGATGTACCACATGGGGGATCTCATCAAGACGGCATCATCCAATCTTCGTTTGGTAGTGTCGGCTAAGGGTAAAAGAGAGAGCTTTTACTCGCAACTTCTCTGCGACGCAGGACTATCCAAGCTGACAACTGTCAAGGCAAGCAAAACAGACATTGGCGGAGCAACGACATTTATTGTATTCAAGCGCGAGCAGATGATGGCAAGGTTGTCTTCTACCGAGCACAAAGAGGTGGCAATGCATCACCAGATCGAGGCCGATCTGGAACGCTTCAAGAAAGGCTCATTTGAATCGAGAAAGCAGCATTACGAGTTGCTGTTGCGGAGGACAAAAAGTATAATGCAAACGGAGAAAGAGGCTCGGAAAGTCAAAATGAGAGACGGCAAAAGCTCGCAATGCCTCTGCAAAACGGAGGTCCGATGCGAGAGTTCATGCCCGAAGTGCCTACTATACTTCAAGCATGTTGACATCAACCAGCTATTGTGCAAGACAGTGCCCTGGTTGCCCACCCAACGTGGACTTTACTGCGAAACGGATCTGAAAGAGGGTCAATTTGTGATCATATACTTAGGAAGACGCAAGGCATTGGTCACCAAGAACGACCAGTACGTGCTGGTGATGAATGGCCAGAGAATCGATGCCAGGGGATACGGGATACACCAGTTTGTGAACCACAGCTGCAGACCGAATTGTGAATTGAGCAAGTGGACAGACCACAACGGCGAGGAGCGAGTCTCCATTAGAGCTAGGGAGAATATTGACTGTCAGACAGAGCTGACGGTCAACTATGGGGAAGGAAGGGAACCTTTCCAGTGTTGCTGCAGTACATGCCGTCCTACAAAACAAACTGTGCAATCAGAACATATATGTATATATGTCCTGTGATGCGTCACGCGAATCGCGTGACACGTCATAGAGAATGTGACTTTCAAGTTTGTCCCTGAAACTCACAAAATAAATCAACAATTGCATTCACAACGGATTTTCGCGTCAGATGATGAAACCACATCAACTATGCGGACAATACACAATGAATGACAATAACCGGATATGTATGGAAGATCCGTTAGGACTTCCCAGTATATGAATAAATAGCATTAACAGTAGCGATCTTGGAGTTGATTGAGCGATGAAAATCCATCGCTACTTTCAATCAAAATCCAGATCGTTGCTCACAATATTTTAGAATTGGTAAAATCCGTACTTTCTATTATCTATCGTAAACAATCAAATACTACATTTTGAGTGGTTATCACGCCCAATCAGGTTAACACACCGCACGCTTCCTACAAGCTACAGCCCACAAGCAACCAGGGAGAGCATCAGCGCCCACATCAGCCTACCGGCAATCAGGGAGAGCATCAGCACCCACATCAGCTCACAAGCAATCAGGGAGAGCATCAGCGCCCACCAAAACCATATCGTTGCTGGAAACACACGACGACACCGACTCAGTAGAGCCAACTGAGGAAGCCACTGCACCTCAACCCTTCTACTCCCTACAGGAACAACAGTTTCTCACCTTCAATCCTCCAACCATGTCCAGCACTTCCGGAGGAACGCCATCTACAGGCACCCTACCATCATACATCACCAAGCCAACTTGCGGTGGAATCACCACTGTTGGTCCCAACGAGTATGAAATCTACACCGGAGGAAAACCCGATGACACACGATCCGGCCTAGACTCCTCTGCACCAACTGAACGAGTTTATCCAGGACAAACTCGTCCAATCTCTGGATATCGATCCATGAAGTCGCAGACCTACCGTACGACATTCGAAGGAACCACCAAGATATCCAAGACTTCGCAACAAACCAAATTGAAACGAGATCTTCATCAGCATTTTGTTGAAAACGGACTAGACTCCATCACTTACCTTCCTGATGCGAACGGAGCCACCACATCAGTCATTCTCTCGGCCGACTCCTTCTCTCAAGAGACTGCCCTAGCTGCATACAAGACAATGCTCCCAAAATACGACAAATACTGCATCGCCAACGACAAGGACGCAGCCAAGTATCTTCTCAATGCCGTTGACGATGATCTCAAGGACACCATCGAACTCTTTCACACCGAATCCGACGGGTTTATTGCTGTGTGGTTTTCTCTCTTGGCCAACATCACTGACAACAACATTGATCGCAAGAAAAGCTTGGAGGACGAAATCAAGTCCATCACCGTCTCTCAGTTTCCGCAACAGAACCTCAAGTCGATGGTAGCCAAACTCAAACCCATCTGTGATGAACTTGACGCAATGGAATCCTACGAACCCGACAACAGTATCCATATGCTAGACAACTTCTCCTATGCAGGCAGTGGCACTGATCCATCCAATCCTCACACCATGAGATTCCGATCAAAGATCATCACACTTCGAGACAAGCTCGACGATGCCATCACAACTTGTCGCAACATGTCCAAAGCAACAAGGGACACTCACCTAAAAGGCCAAGGACTTCACTACACCCAACTTCTCAAGACCATCTCCGACATCTACGTCAAGCTCGAGCACAACAAGACCTGGCCTCCATCCATGACACCTCTAGATTCTCGAACACCCGCAGCCCTCAACATGGCAGCTCTCAAGGACAGCCTATCACCTTCCGTGGCCGCGCAATTCGAAGCCTACATTCTCCAACAAAGCAAAGGACGTCAGCCACCTGATGAAGACAAGAAATCGACGAATCCAAAGCACGTACCTCCTACTCCATCCATGACTCCCACGGAGACCATCGAAGGTATCAAACACTACGTTCAAGACATCAAAGGAGTCAAGAACAACTGGTGTGGTCGATGCCGCCGTTGGACCCCTACTCATTGGACCTGGATGCACGGTCGCAAACCTGACGACAAACCCACTCCAGTTACACCTGCTTCAACCGAATCCCATCTACTGATCAACAAACAAGACAGCAGTGGGTCAGATGACGACACGTCTCTTGAAACAAACCTTGCCTCCTCAGGATTCAAGTACGTCTTCTACCATATGGAACTTCCCCGGCCAACACCTGCCAAAATTTCGGAAAGGATCTCCTCGCCAGAGATCCTCGATGAGGCACCATCTTCCAGCATCATGGACAAGTCTTACCTCTGGTCCTACCTTTGGTATACGTTCCAGGTTGCCATTCTTGGATTCAGCCTATTCGGTGCATTGTTGTGTACCACGACAACCATTGACGCTCTACCCGGTCTCAGTGCCCTATCAGCCTTCTTCCAGGACATCCCGCGCCTTGTTGATACCTACACATTTACTTGGCATGCCATCGCACCACTTCTTTGGTACCTCATCTACAGCCTCCTCTTCATTGGACCCGATCGCTTTGCCGCTCCTACTCCGGTTCCTCGACACATCCGTCGCCAGATTCAGCGGCACCTATTCCGTGAATCGCGTCGCAAGCCTCGTGGCATCCAGAAGCCTTCCTTCCGACACCCTCGCTACCAACCTTCCCGTGCCGATTGCATCCGCCGCTTTCATGCTACCACTACCTTCTTTCCTTCCTCCTTTCATACCGTTTCAGAGGGAGAACCAGCATTCCCAGTCATTTGGGATTCTGGAGCTTCCGTGTGTGTATCTCCACACCTTGATGACTTTGTAGGCCCTCTCGGCCCACCACCATGTTCATCCACCAAAGGTGTGGGAGGCCCAGTCGAAGTAAAGGGAACAGGAAATGTCAAGTGGACTTTCAGGACCACGGACAACTCCTTCAGAACCATTATCCTCCCTGCCGTCCACATTCCTACAGCAACGCAACGATTATTGAGTACAAGTTCCCTGTGTCAAAAATACCCCAACGAGACACTTACCCAAAATGCCGACGGCATGATCCTATCTGGAGAAGTACCAATCACTCGAGCCGTCCAAGCAAGCATCGACAACAGCAACAACCTTCCTACCTCTTGGTCCTTCCGACATGTCACCAAGCCCATCAACGACAACACTACCAGCGACGATGCTACCGTCTGCGCCAACAACATCTCCTCCGATCAATCTTCTCCAACACCTACTGATTGTTGCTTGAAACGCTCGTCTTCCACTCGGCCAAGCCACCATGCCACCATGCAGGCCGCCATCTCAGAAGTGTGCAATCACAACATCAATCTCAATAATGGTGATCGGGAATGGCTCAAATGGCACCAACGTCTTGGACACCGCAGCTTCGCTCTCATCCGCTACATCATGGGTGCTGGCACTCTTGCAAAAAGCCAACGAGCTCGAGCACTCCACACTCAAGTTTCAAAACGAGTCGAATGTCCCAAATGTGCAGCCTGTTGCTATGCCAAGGCCAAACGAAGATCACCTCCCAAACTACGTCGTTCCCAAGGACACATCAAGGATATTCCCAGCACTCTTCGAGACAACACCTTATATCCTGGACAAGAAGTATCCGTGGACCACCTTGTATCATCAGTTCCTGGACGCACCTATGAGGGTTTCGGCAAAGGTCACAAGTCCACAATGTTCAAAGGGTCAGCTCTATTTGTCGACAATGCAACCGGATACACCTACACTCACCATCAAAGGTCCCTCAACACCCATGATACTCTCCGCGGCAAGGAAGCATTTGAGGCTAATTGTCGTGATCTTGGTGTAGTGGTACAACGATATCGAAGTGATAATGCTGCCGTATTTCACAGTCATGAATACAAACTTCATCTCGAATCCTTCTCGCAGACTCAAAAATATGCTGGGGTTGGTCAACATCACGCAAACGGCATCGTCGAAAAGTCCATTCAGGACATCCAATCAACCGCACGAACCATGCTGGTACATCTTGCTATCCATTGGCCAGAACAAGCTGATCTTGCATTATGGCCAATGGCAATCGATCACGCCGTCTTTCTGCACAATCACCTTCCTGACCAGACTACTGGACTGTCCCCAATGGATAAATTCTCCCGCCAACGATGGCCACATTCCAAATATCATGACATCCATGTCTTTGGCTGCCCCACCTACGTCCTGGACAAGAAACTTGCAGATGGTAAGACAATTCCAAAATTCAAGCCACGCTCCGAACGCCATGTTTACCTTGGTTTCAGCCCATTTCATGCAAGCACAGTCCCCTTGGTACTCAATCCAAGAACTGGGTCCATCACACCTCAATTCAACTGCGTTTTCGATGACTGGTTTGCAACCATTGCTACCAGCATCGAAGAAATTCCTACATTCCTTGAGGAGCATTGGCAGACCCTCTTCACCGACTCCGAATATCAGTTCCCAGCCGACGACACAGACCCTCCAGCTCTTGCCACCATACCTGTTCAACCGCCTCCGCCCCCTGCATCTCCTCTGGATACTTTTGATTCTGCCTCCAGCCCCTACATCACTGGCCTTCCAGACCTATTCGAACCTCGCAGCCCGCCTTCTACTTCCAATATTCCTTCTGTTCCGACCTCCCAATCTTCGCTTGAGAGGGAGAGAGTGCCTGTTGCCCCCATGCAAGCAACTCCTCCATTAAATTCGACGACCGATTCCTCGAATCAGAGGGAGCCAGAGCTTCCATCTCAACAACAGAGGGAGCAACAAGCTCCATTGCCTCGCCCTACACCAAGAAATAAACCAAACGTCAGAAGCCAACCACCTCTACCTCGCGAACGACCAATTGAAGACTTACCTTCCACCCATCAATTCAGTCCCAACTTACGTCGCAGCACCAGATCAACCAAAGGTGTTTCGGCCCCCATTCTTGATCCAGATCCGTCCCAAAAATCCTACTCAAGCAAGGTCGAATACTCCTCCCATCTCAGCGAACTCGACCAATCCATCAATCCTGACTTCAACGACGTCGAAAATCTACACTCATTTCCCAAAGACACACCATTTCTGACGGCTGAAGAGTTAGTATTGACACCCAAACACGAGTCATACAAGCGATTCTCAACTCAACCAGACACTGACGATGGAGGAATTGCCGGTTTCTACGATCTGCACTTCTCTTACCTTGGATACAAACTGGAAGACAAACCCAACTTTGTCTTCATGGACAGCCGAGCTCCAGCTGATGTCATTGAATTCCTCAAGGCTGCCTCAAGCGATCCCGACATCTTAACCTGGGATGAAGCAATGAAGCATCCAGAAGAAGCTGAACAATGGCGCAAGGCAGCGTTGAAAGAAATTCGAGCCCTCGAACACAAACGCACATGGCTTGAAGCACCTGAGTCCAATGCAACTGTTCGTGTTATTCCAGGAACTTGGGTATTTCGCCGAAAGCGACTGCCAGACGGAACCATTACTAAATTCAAGGCTAGATGGGTACTACGAGGCGACCTACAAGACCTAGACATGGACACCAGAGCCGACGTCGTTGCTTGGTCTTCCGTACGAATATTCATGGTACTAAGTCTGAAGCTAGGTTGGGTGATGAAATCAATTGACTTCACAAATGCATTCCTACACGCCCCATTGCCAAAAGAGCTACCTATGTTTGCTCATCTACCTCGAGGATTCTATTCAAACATGCGAAGCATCACTGGAGAACGAACAGTACTGAATCTACAAAAATCTTGTTATGGAACTACCGTGGCCCCTCGATTATGGTTCGAACACGTCATGAAAGCCTTCAAGGAACTTGGATTCGAAAGTTCACCCTACGACAAGTGCTTTCTCATTCGTAAAGACATGATGATCGTGGTATATGTGGATGATTGTGGTATCAGTTGTGATAAGCCTGAGAAAATTGATGAATTGGTCCAGCAACTACGCGACAAAGGCTTCGATCTTGAAATTGAGGGCGACTTTGAAACCTTCCTTGGAGTCGAAATCGAAAAGCTAGATGACGGGCGCTTCCACCTCAAACAAACAGGACTCATTGCCAAGGTTTTAGAGGCTGCAGGTCTCAGTGACTGCAATGACAACCATGTCCCAGCAGGTCCCACACCTCTTGGCAAGGACGAAACCGGTGAAGACTGGCCCCAACATCCTTGGAAATACAGCTCCATTATTGGCATGCTTATCTACCTTTGTACAAATACCAGGCCTGACATCAGCTACGCAGTTTCATGTGCCGCGCGCTTCAATGCTAAACCCAAGGCTTGTCATGCCACCGCCGTAAAAACCATTCTTCGCTACCTCAAAAAGACATCCGACAAAGGGTTGATTATTGAATTTGATGGAACATTGGATTTGGAGGCATACTGCGATGCTGATTTTGCTGGACTCCACAAATCTGAAGACTCCTTTGATCCTGCTAGCGCCAAGTCCCGAGGCGGATACATCATCTTCTTTGGAGGCGTTCCTCTACTCTGGAAAAGCTCCCTTTTGTCATGTATCACACTGAGCACTCTGGAAGCCGAATACATGCAACTATCTCGCACCATGACCGTCCTCCTTGGAATCAAGAATACTCTTGAGGATCTTCTTCCTCCTCTTGGACTACAAACATCCAACCGCTCGATCACCTCTACCGTCTTTGAAGACAATGCTGGAGCTCTCCTTCTGGCAACTGAACAGCGCATCACTCCTCGTACCCGCCAGCTCCTTGCAAAATGGCACCACTTCTGGTCCTGGATTCGCAAACCTTCTGACGGACCCCCTCGCGATGCCAACAGTACTTGGGATGATGGAAAAATCACAGCGAAGAAAATTTCAACTGAACTACAACGCGCCGACATGTTCACCAAAGGCCTAACTCGAGTCCTTTTTGAACGAAACCGCAAAATGATTTGTGGTTGGTAACTGTTCTCGTTTTGACCTGTTCTGACACCTTCGATCTTTCCATCAGAGGGAGAATCAGAACATATATGTATATATGTCCTGTGATGCGTCACGCGAATTGCGTGACACGTCATAGAGAATGTGACTTTCAAGTTTGTCCCTGAAACTCACAAAATAAATCAACAATTGCATTCACAACGGATTTTCGCGTCAGATGATGAAACCACATCAACTATGCGGACAATACACAATGAATGACAATAACCGGATATGTATGGAAGATCTAATATGGCAAAAATAAAGGATAAGGATCCAATGTGGCACAAGCATAACGACTGGAATCACCCGTCTTGCCTTTCCAAGATTGTCGGATGCATCGACGTAGTCGAGTTCGACTGGATGTGGATGCCAAGTGCGTACGTTGCAGATACCTTGGCAGTAACCTTCAAGGCAACAGGACTCTATATGATGGCGCCAGCAGTTCTGATTCAGAGACAGACTCAGACAGCAGTTCTGATTCAGAGACAGACTCAGACAGCAGTTCTGATTCAGAGACAGACTCAGACAGCAGTTCTGATTCAGAGACAGACTCAGACAAAGAGGACGCCCAACGTTCCAATTCAGATTCAGAGCCAGACTCACAGTCAGATACAGGGGGAGAAGAGGAAGCCAATGAATTACCTAAGAAAAAGTGCAAAATCATATAGTAAAAGTATTCATTAATGGATAATATATAAAAATGATCCGTATGACGGATCATCTGACGGATCATTTGGGTACATTTTCACGTACGTGAGTTTGACGGATCATTTACGGATCATTTGCGGATCATCTCTGGCCGTACCATCCTGTAGAGTTAGGTACTAGACGGATCATTTCCCAGATTTCACTTCACCCTATCCACGAGTTTCCAAAATCACCAAAATGACAATCAATCATCATATTTTGCTGGAGCACTTGTTACCCATACAAAGCATGTCATACAATGAGGTCTTTTCCCAGTCGAAAATCAAATGGATGTGAGTATCCCAATTGTTTTAAAAGTTACAATCGACAAAGGTTCTCATTGAGATATCGTCTGATTCCTTTTTTTGCCAATCTTTTGACTTCCAGCAAATTCAGTTCCATGGCCGTGGCTCAAGATCGACGTGAAATCATTGACAACAATCAGCCAGCAAACCCTACATCAATATCAGGTGGTCCTAACGATCGATTTGGTTCTACATTCGGGCAAGAACTGATGGTTTGTCGAATACTTTTTTGCAACAGAGCAGAGATTTGGGAAAATAATCGGAAATTGAAGTCACAAGGCCATCAATCAAGAACTACGTCAAATCGAAGACAACAACCAGCCAAGGACTTCACCAGATATATTTGGTGGCGCTAACGATCGATTTGGTTCTACATTAGGGCAAGAACTGATGGTTTGTCAAATACTTCTATACAACAGAACGGAGATTGGGAAAAATGATCGGAAATTCCAGTCATGTGGCCATCAATCAAGAACTACGTCAAATCGAAGACAACAAAAAGCCAAGGATTTCAACTACTATATATGGTGCTGCTAGCGATCGTTTTCGTACTGCATTTGGGCAAGAATTGATGGTTTTACGAATACTTCTATACAACAGAACGGAGATTGGGAAAAATGATCAGAAATTCCAGTCACATGGGCATGTTTCAAGAACAACGTCAAATCAAAGACAACAATCAACCAAGGATAACAACGGCAAATCGAAGACAACAATCAACCAAGGATCTCAACTACTATATTAGGGGCTGCAAGCGATCGTTTTCGCTCTACATTTGGGCAAGAATTGATGGTTTTACCAATACTTTTATACAACAGAACGGAGATTGGGGAAAGTATTCGAAAATTCCAGTCACTAGGCCATCAGTCAAGGACCACCTCACATCAAACACAACAACCAGCCAAGCAACAGCCAGCCACACATTTTAATTTGGAATTAGGCCCACAGTTCAACCAATACCAGTTTTGAAGCAGAACTTACCATTGTTTTGACCCCACCAATTAGCCAATGTATGCTGGGTCTAGGCGGAATCCATGACTAAATCACATACTGCTCAAGGCTCAAGGATTGAAAGAAGCGACTGGTGTACGGCGTTAACCAAAGTTGATTCCGCCTTTGGCCACCAAAGAGGACAATTGACATGGGTAGTCAATCTCGGCCTGTCGAGATAACAAACGCTGACATTACCAAAAGCCCTACAAGGCATGCCCGAGATGGTAGTGAAAGGGCATGGTACGTATCTGCCTATTGCCACGACAACATCGTCATCATCACCTTCTTGACTATTGTCGGGCGCAGGATCACCTTCTTGTACTTCGTTGTCAACGTTCCCTTCTGGACCATTGTCAACGTTGCTTCCTTGACCATTGTCGGGAGCAACATCATCACCTTCTTGACTATTGTCGGGCGCAGGATCACCTTCTTGTACTTCATTGTCAACGTCAACGTTCCCTTCTGGACCATTGTCAACGTTGCTTCCTTGACCATTGTCGGGAGCAACATCATCACCTTCTTGACTATTGTCGGGCGCAGGATCACCTTCTTGTACTTTGTTGTCAACGTTCCCTTCTGGACCATTGTCAACGTTGCTTCCTTGACCATTGTTGGGAGCAACATCATCACCTTCTTGACTATTGTCGGGAGCAGGATCACCTTCTACTTCGTTGTCAAAGTTCCCTTCCGGACCATTGTCAGCGTTGTTTCCTTGATCCGGGGCGTCGTCAACATTGAAGGGGTCGCCTTCCCCTTGAGGATTGGAATCCTGAGCCAATCTGACATCACCAATATGACTAGCCGCCGCGGAATCCGCAGGTATCCTATCCTGCAGACTCCTGATGATGGCTTCCTGCTGTCTAAAGATCTTCACAATATCTTCTGGGTCGCCGTATTGCTTTACATGAGCGTCAAGAAGTGTATCCATTCTTCGCTCTTAGTTGTTGTTCGTACTGCAACAACTCTCCTACAGTATCATCATTGTGTTGGTGGGCAATGTCGGCATGTTTCCAATGCCTTGTTAAGCGCACGAAATTTGGCATGACTGTGTCTCTCTGGATCTTGCTCCAGCACACTACACCGATCCTCTAGAACACGGGTTTGGCGTACTAGCTCCTCGATACAACGCCGCTTTGTTGCAACCATTTCATCGTTGGCATTTCGGAGCTCCGCCCGTAAACCATCGAGGTTCTCTTCGTCTCGAGAACGCTTCTTCGATGCTTCTTGCTGGGCCGCCCTAGCTTCTTTGAGCTCCTCATTAGCTCTTTGTTGCTCAGTTCTGCTGCTGTGTACCTCCGCCCGTAAACCATCAAGGTGTTGGCTAAAACAGCCAGTCTGGTCCTCAAAAATGTGACAAGCTGGTTCTGACCCAGCTACCGGTATATCCTATCTATTTGTCACGCCTGAAGACCACTTTTAATCCATATAAACCTGGATTTTCCACAAGTACTTTGTTAGTCCCAACAGTACTTCATTAGTTCTTACACGCGCACGTGAATTCCCAACACACTCCTTCGAGCGATGGATCGTGCATGTGATTCATCCGATCATTCAAAACAGCCAGTCTGGTCCTCAAAAATGTGACAAGCTGGTTCTGACCCAGCTACCGGTATATCCTATCTATTTGTCACGCCTGAAGACCACTTTTAATCCATATAAACCTGGATTTTCCACAAGTACTTTGTTAGTCCCAACAGTACTTCATTAGTTCTTACACGCGCACGTGAATTCCCAACACACTCCTTCGAGCGATGGATCGTGCATGTGATTCATCCGATCATTCAAAACAGCCAGTCTGGTCCTCAAAAATGTGACAAGCTGGTTCTGACCCAGCTACCGGTATATCCTATCTATTTGTCACGCCTGAAGACCACTTTTAATCCATATAAACCTGGATTTTCCACAAGTACTTTGTTAGTCCCAACAGTACTTCATTAGTTCTTACACGCGCACGTGAATTCCCAACACAAGGTTCTCTTTAGCTCTTTGTTGCTCAGTTCTGCTGCTGTGTAGCTCCGCCCGTAAACCATCGAGGTTCTCATCAGCTCTTTGTTGTTCAGTTCTGCTGCTGTGTAGCTCAGCTCTGCTGCTGTGTAGCTCCGCCCGCAAACCATCGAGCTCCTCATCAGCTCTTTGTTGTTCAGTTCTGCTGCTGTGTAGCTCCGCCCACAAACCATCAAGGTTCTCATCAGCTCTTTGTTGTTCAGTTCTGCTGCTGTGTAGCTCCGCCCGTAAACCATCGAGGTTCTCTTCGTCTCGAGAACGCTTCTTCGATGCTTCTTGCAGGGCCGCCCTAGCTTCTTCGAGCTCCTCATTAGCTCTTTGTTGCTCAGTTCTGCTGTTGTGGAGCATATCGCACATGGAGCCGTATCCAGATGCCCCACATGTGACAACCACGTTTGGATCCTTTACCCGTTCCACGTACATAGGAAGGATTCCAGCATGGAACAATACCCACCTGGTGCAGTACTGACATGCGTACCAACTATCGGAGGGCCCCGTTAGAGTTGACGTTCCATGTTTGAACGCCAAATAGAAGAAACGTTGGATATTCTCCAGTGCCGGCTCCTGGAGGAGACTATTGTCGAGCTCTCCAGGAATACAGGCGGCCTGCACAATTAGGGATAACAACATGGGGACGATCTCCCGTTCTTCGGCGGCCCTATGAAACTGTGGGGCTGCCATGCAAGCGTTTT